ACCTTTTTTATTTAATGGAGAGATGTGTTTTCGTAATTAATTATCATTGCCAGCGAAACGTTGGCAAGTTAACTATTTACCTCTATGTTTTGAGACTCATGGCTTTTTTGTTTATAACATAAAATATTTTCCATTTATAAAATAAAAAACTGTGTTTAAAAATATAATAATTATTGCAATGAAAGGATTAAAACAAACACAATTATAAACATAAATAAATCTTTCAGAAGTGAGTGTTAGAAGTTGAGATGTTATGGCCTTATGAAATTACTTAGTTAATCATTGGAAATTACTCGTGCTTTGAAAATTACATATCATTGAACAGCCTATCTCTCAACAGATTAACTTAATTATAGGAATTAGAAAAGATTCGCCACACATCTAGCAGCTGTCGAGTTCATGGGTTTACAAACAAGAAATAAGTATGATGTAACAAAAACAGCTTATCAAGTATTTACTAAGCGCTGATGTTGGACTTGAAAAAATAAAGTTGGTGTATTCATTAATTAAGTAGGTCTAGTTAAATTTGTTAAAAATTATTTATAATACTTTTTTTTTCAACAAATCAAGATGTAATTAATGAATTGAAACGAAATTCTGTACATACACTTATTACCTACGTATGAATATGATCTGTGACAATTTGTTGTTCATATCCTTCAGATCAGTTATATATAAATAATTGACAATTATTTTATATGTATTAAATTAAACCTATATAATTGCCTCTTTTTGTTTATGTAAGGGGCAGCCAAATTTTCCTTTTTTTTTCTCTTAGGATTCATTATAAGAATTTAAAGGGTTAATTCCGTAGCTATTTCCATTTCTATTTCGGTATATCCATTATCAAAAAAAGTATAGATCGAATTATAATATTGTTAAAAAAATAAATAAATAAAATAAAATCTCAAAATTCATCTGCTTGTTCTACGTGTTTAATTAGTATTAAAAATAAACATATTTGAAGAGATCGTTTTGGAAACTGTTCTGGACTAAAATTGAGTCATGGATCTTGAAGGACGTTAAGCTTACTGTATTACCTGATTGTTGATTTATAAATGAGAATCCTTAATGGAATAATGCCGTCAACAAAACAGGAAGCTAAGGAGTTATTGTAAATTATTCGCTTGGTGTAATTTATCGGTTTTCAAGGACTAATGACTCTTTTAATTAAATTTTATTAGCTAGCATAAAATATTAAATCTTAATTTTAAAATATTTTAATATTAATTGTAATTCATATACCCTAGGTCATAAGTTGATATATATTAAATTAAGCATTATCTAATCGAACAGCTTTAAAATATAGGCTTAAAATCCTGTGTTTATGTCATATATTTTATAACTTTATTTCATTTTTGCATTTATTTCCGTATTTTTAAAGTGAAATATTGTACTTATTATTATGCACTGGGGTTTAAATCCCTCATCTACTCCAACATAGGCAAGAAAGACTTCCAATCTATAGGTTACTAGCCTATTTAACCTCAGTGGAATGTTCTAAATATGTTTAAGTTTTCGAATATTTGGCTTTTAAAATTCTAGTTGTTTTTATGGATATAATATATAAAAATTATGTCCTCATATTTTTTATATTTTAATATAATAATTCATGCGGAGATGCTACAAATAAAAAAATCAGCAGTTTCTAGTGTTAAGAATGATATTCTTTGAAAAATCATCTATTTTACCTTACTTACTTATATGCTGTTTGTATTACAATAAAAAACAATTTAAGTATAATTTTTAATACTTTATTGTTTAAATCGTCACATTATTCTCTACAATTATTAAATTGTGAAGTCGGTGAATAAAATTAGAATTTTAAAACCATAGCTGGCAAACAAATAAATCAGAGCTCGAAATAGTTTTATTTCTGTTATACCTTACAACTTTTCAAGTGAAAGTTTTACATAACATTTATTTATAAATAAACATTTATTTAAAAATTCTGTTGTTTTCGCTAAAAAGACTTTTTGAAAAAATTAGTTTTATTCCTTGCTACTCAAACAAACAATTAATTATATAGATCCCGTGCGTCCGACCTCTATCCTCCTCCTCACCGAACTGCTGCGTTTGACAAATCCTTTTTAACTCAAGCCGTCTCTCTCTGGAATTCGATCCCTTCTGATATTTGACAAGCAAAGTCAGTACCTTCTTCAAGAAAATCTCTCCTCTTCAAACACTTACTCCATTCCCAATCCGGTTGATCATGGAATGCAATTAAAAATCCTAGTCGTAAGACTCTCAAAGTACCCCCAGATACTTTGTTTATTTTACTTTCTCTGTTTATTTTATATTTATACACGTTTTTATATATTTTAATTATCTTTAATTTTATTGTAATCATCCTGTAAATATTTAATTGTATTTTATGGACACACGAGGAAGTTAATTTATGTTCTGTATTTATAACTTGTTCTAAAGGGACACTAGTCTCTGAACAATAAAATTATTTTCATTCATTGTAATCAAGTAATTCATTTAAAATAGATCATAAATCTAATTTAAATCCAATTATTTATTATTTCTCATTTATTTTAACTTTTTTAAAAAATAAAAGTTAAACTTTTTCCTTAAACAAAAACTCAAACACGAAAAGTCCCACAGAACTTTTATTTTAAAATTATTTTTTTTTAAAGTTTTACTGAAACTGTTGAAATAGAAACAACGGTTGGTTGTTTGATGTTAGTCAATTTCTCAATTTTTTAAATTAAAATATATTGCTATTTTAGTTCTGATTTTTTTTTCTGAATTTATAAGGAGAGGATTAGATGCCCTAACTTCGTACTACTAAGTTACTTATTTTCTTGAACCCTGACAATTTTTGTTTATTGATCATCACGTTCCCTTCAAGGAATACTAGATATTTTTTATTTATTCGATGATAGCTTTAAATCTTTTGTCTATTATTCTTAATTTCGGTTCATGGTCCGGGTAGGAAGCCAACTCAAGTATAACCTGGGACCGGTGGTAGCAGTTGCTTGGGTCCCAGGTAGGGTCCCAGGATTACAGGTAAGAGGCGAGGATTTGGGCCTGGAAAGGCTGGCAGGGAGGGGGTTGCCAAGGTCTACCCTAGTTGTAAACACTGCGCACTTCTCCAGCCCTACCTGTATAGAGAGGTGTTCTTCCCTCTGTAATTATTATATATTTATCTTTACATATATATATAATATAAATATTTATTTATTTGCTTTCATTGCTAGTTTTAGTAAATGTGTTTTCTCGTTTCTAGATCGTGTATAGGAATGTCGCAGTCTCCTCAGCCGTCTCGACAAAGTATTGAACATGCGTACTTTTCTTAAGAATATCCGCGTGCCTTTGCTGTCTTATTTATACTTTTTAAGTTATTTATAATAGTCTAACAACTTATGATAATTTTGTTTTTCTACAAATGTTATTGACCTAGGCGTTGAAGGGAACATGTCTTTTCTCCCCTCCCAATCTTGATGTTATTATAAGTTCGTTTAAAATTGAAAAAACAAATAATATAATTAAAAGAAAGTTACTATATTTTTTCTACTCTCTAATACTATACTGTATGCTACAAAACATAGAGTTAAATCTTAGAATTATTTAAAATTTATTTACTTGAAAACATAATTATTTTACCCTACATCGAATTTAAAGAAAATAAATATTATCCACAATTTTGTAGTTTTTTGATATATTAAACTTTAATAATATTTTAGTATCATGTATACCGGACAATATTATTAAATTTCATAATTTGTCTTAAAACATAACGTCAACGTTCTTTATTTTGTAAAATACTTATCTATCTTACATTTAGAGAAAATAATTAAATATTTAATATATGAATAGATTCGATACACTGCGATATTTCATTTATATTTTAAATAGACATAACTGCCCAACCCTTAACTCAAACCTCAAGAAAATCCTATGTTACTGCAGATACAAAATATATGAATATATATTTTTTATCACTTATATTCGGCTCTACTTTAGAGAGTCATTTGGTGGTCAATTTATTTTAATATATTGATTTAAATTAAATCTATTTTCGATGAATTAGTAAAATTTTCATTATAAAAAAGCATAGATCGAAATCTTAACTTAAAATTTTGTTTGGTAGTTTTTAAACTTAATTGAAACCTTTCAATGTTTTTTCGAAACGTCTTTTAAAAACTGAGCGCTTTCTACACACATTAATCTTGCGACTTCTTTCTATTTCTTATCAACAATTTATTTTTTTATTTTTAATGGTAACTTTTAGATTTAAATTGAAGTTGCTTGAAAATGCTGAATATGAAAAACGACGCAAAATCACATACTATTTTTAATAAAATTTTATTACGAGACAGATTCGTTTACTGTAAAATATGTTTTTTTATGAGTTTTCTGGAGGTTTAGTCATTAATAAATAACTATTTTTCGGCGAAAATTGCGTGACTTTATTTTTTATATTCATATCTTACGGTTATAAAATATTACAATTTCCCGGTCATTATTGTCTTCCATTCACTACTTTTCTGCTCATTCTCATTGTTGTCTTCTTTGCAGTTTATTTAGTAGTTCAATATTTCATCACTAAGAAAAATAGTTATTTGTATTATAATATATTGTAATTATAAAAATAATAATAGACTACGGAAAAGAAGTTTATGAAATTTCTTATATATATCTTCTTTTTTTTTCAGAGATCCTTATTTACTTTTTTGAACCCAAGAAATTCTCCTCAGCAAATTTGCTTTTTATTTTATAAAATTAATTCAAAATTTTAATACAGAATAAAAAACAAATGAAATATAACAATATGGTGGCCTTCTTTCAATTGAAGGAAGTCTGCCGAGCCTATAAGTTGTAGTAATTTATGGGTGTTTGTTTCAATTGCGTTTATAGCTTGAGCATGCAACGGGGCAATAAGAATAGTATTTTATTATCATTCGATGAGATTGAATTATAAATAGTCCTATTGTGCCTATAATAACAATGACACTAATAAAATTTTAAGCTAATTCTGGAACTTTGTGCAGGAGAGAGCGTGGCCGAGACGAGTACTTCGTCTCCGGAGTTGGGAGCTCCAGGTTCTCCAGTCAGGCCGGAGCAGACTCCAGGGAGTCCTGTCCAGGTTAACAGGTAATAAATTTAATATACATATTATAATATATTAATTAAAACAGGTAATAATATATATTTATATTATTATATAATTTAGTGCTTTCATGAATATTCAATTTTTATTCGCCGTTGTATATTGTACATTTCTGATTTCTATTCGAAAAGATAATTAGGGTTAAAGTGGACGGAACTACGTCATGACTTGACAGCCTTTAGCTCAGAACGTTGGGTACTTATACTGTTTAGCTTTTAGATCAGTGTTACTAGCTTCAAAACTTCCACCCAAGAAATATCTTTCCGTTTTTTTTCTCTTACCGTTTAGTCTCCGAATAAAAATATTTATTTAAAAATGTATTATGTTAGTTTGCATAATTGCTTATTAATAAATTATCACTGAGAGATACTTTGACAATGTCGCTTTTCTCAGGCGTATACGTCCACTCTACAATAGACATAGGCCGCAACCACAATTCACACCACGCCTCTGGTACGCATTGTTATTTCCAGTTTTTATTACTTAATAATATTAGTGCAGTCTTATATCGGTTGTTTTTCACTTCATCCGGCTGAAACTTCGTGAATATCTTCTTTTCATCGTAATCTACAAATATTTTATTTACCAAAATCCTCGGAATTGGGGCGTTTTCAATCTGAAGGTCGGCAAACTTTGTCTATTTAATTAGGTACTAAAAACTCGTAAATATCCATTTGCTTTCCACTATAATCGTAAGATAACTTGAGATCTAAGTCGAGAAAAAAAGGTAGCCTTCAAAAATATTGAGTCATTTGGCGTGACCTACACCCCCAAATTGTCAAAATAACCAGGTCGTATAGGGCAAACGGCTCAACATTTTTGAAGGCCATTTTTTTTTTCGACATTGTGCTTGAATTATCTTACGAAAGTGGAAAGCTAATGGGTATTTAAGAGTTTTTAGTACCTAATTAAATAGACAAATTTTGCCGACCTCCAGATTGAAAACGTCCCAATTGCGAGAATTTTCTTAAATAAAATATTTGTAAGTTACGATGATATGAAGCTATTTACGAAGCCGGATGTTAATAATTCGATAAAAAGGGGTCTGTACCACGGAATATTTATTGTAATTCAGCACGCAGTCTTTTAAAAAAAATTTCAATTTTTTTATTTGTGCCAACGTTTCAACCCAAACATGTGGGTGGAAAGCATACTTTTGAGTAATTGATAGCATTTAGTGCTCGAACCACGCCCTGAAGATGACCCACATGTTTGGGTTGAAACGTTGGCATAAATAAAAAAATTTTTTTTTTAAAAGACTGCGTCCTGAATATTTATCACCCATAATAATTCTTTTAGAATTTATTTTTTTAATACTTTCTTACGTTTTCGGTAGATATAAATTCGATATAATTAAAAAAGAGAGCATATTGTGATTGTTTAAGTAGGTTTACATCAGGTCACTCTCAGAACATATATGGCAAATAGAAAAAAAAAATTCTATTTTGAAATAGCTTTAGCGCGAAAACGTCTTTTCCTCCTCCGTTGATCCGTCGGTATTTCCGTACGATGTATCCTATTGATGAAAAGGCCCGACTAGGATGAGTGGGGAGGGGTGAGCGGTCCAGAATGGGAGGGAACGCGGAAGGATGGGCGTTAAAAAAAGCCTAAGACACCTCCAATATTAGAATTTCCCGGGCTCTGACCTGGGGGTGGAAATTTGGAAAAGTTCCAACCGGGAAACTGCCGGGTCGAGTCTCATGTTTGTCTAGAGCCCTCTTATCTCTTCTTCCTCTTCCTACTCCACCCCCTCACGCCCTGATAATGTTCTTAGCCCTAGCACACCTACGTCACTCATTAGATATATATAATATATAACATAAAATGAAATGCATTATTAAGTTGTTAGTTAATAGTTACAGGCAGGTATTTCTCATTGATACCTAAGATCGGATGAAAAAAAATATATTTAAGAATTTATAGTAGTTCTCACAGTAAAAAATATCATTTTCATATTTTATTCTCAAATATCCCTAATATAACTAAGTAAAAAAAAAAAAAATTAGATAATTCTTTTTTCAGTTTATTTCATGTTTATGTTTTGCTTGAAATAATGAACTATTTATATAATGATATTGGTTGATGATTTGATCTGGTTACCATGGATACCAAACAACTATCTATTAGAATATTTTTAACTGCTTTTCACTAAAAAATCTCATAACTCCTCATGATTTACTCATAAATGAATATTTGTATGATCGTTGGAAAGCTAAGTAGTTGCTCTCAAAGCCTATAAAAACAACTTTTATTTTTAACGCCCTCTTAAGGAATAAAAAAAAAAGAAAAACTACAAAACCGTTTTTATCTTTTATCTCTAAGCCTAAGTTATTTAAGGACCTCTGATTGATATATATAGGTATGAGTTTTCAAAATAATCTGATTTCGATAGGGCAGCTTTCCGTGAAATAAATTGTCCCCTCTTAGTTTCAATCCAATATGCTTAAGAGTTCGTCTCTACGATTTACTTATAATATTAGAGTGCTACCAGTGGGTAGTTTCTCAACAAGCGTGTTTCATGTAATAATATTTCTCTGTACAAATTTACTTGATGTATTCATACTAATACAGTTGTAAATATCATAATAAAAGTTAAAAGTTAAAAAACTTATAATATAGTAACTGGGGTCTTGTTTAGATTAGGGCAGCCAGTTATCTTATCTAGTAACAGTTACTTATTGATGAATTAAAAAATATAGATTAAAGAAACATATGATTTGTTTAATGGGAATATTAACATACTTTTAATGAGTTACTCCAGGTACCTCTCGCGGCCAAAATTCTACTATGTCCTTAGTTGTAGTTTATCAAAAATGTCTTCATTTGAGTTTCTCTGCCTCCACATGAACACGTATAAGTACGAGTACCAGTCTAACATAGAGCGATGAAACATTTATTTTATTTGCTGTTTTTTAACGTCGCATCGACTGCCAGGGTCATTAGTGGCGATCTTTTTTCTTAAACATAACTTATTAAATTTATGAATAATATGTCCATGTATTTTGCAGTCCCTCGATTACAGATAAGGAATCGGTCACAATTACTGATTTCTCAATATTGGTGTCGATTACGTATTCAAATGCCTTGAGAATTGCCCACTTTTCACATGCAAAAATTGAATTATTGTTATTTAATTTCCATTTTCTTATATTATTTTGGGTTACGATACAGCATCCGACACCTTTCTCTGATTTTGAACCGTCCGTAAAAATTATGTCATGATTATGAAATAATTTATTGACAATTCCATGGTACCTATATCTAATTTCTTCTGGGGTCTTGTTGTTCGGAACATTGTTTATTACTAGTTCATTTTTGATTGATGGAATTGTCCACAGAGGGCTATCTCCTATTTTCAGGGATACAATATCTATAGAAACATTTTAATACTAAATTAAATAATATTTAAACATGTGATTTTATTTCTACATCAATGGTATCAAGTTTCATAACAACTGTTACTAAATATTATTAAAAAATCACTGGTGGGCCTGATCTAAACAAGGCCCAGTAACTGTAACTACAAACACTATGGAAGCTCTACTTACTAGCGTAATTACCTGCAGTTTATAGCTACTGCTCCGATCCTATTGGTCGTAGCATGATTTTACAAGATCTAAAGACCTTCTTCAGTTCATTCATGTTCTATCCAACCCAAAATCCCTCTGACTGGTACTTCTTTAAAATAACGCTTCAAAACAAAAAAGCTCTTCAGGAGTATGTATTATTATATAATTACAGACTACTTGCGGCTTGAAATTCATTGAAGTTGAAAATACGAAAATAAATCAATAAAATATTTCTAGTAAACTTTTATTTTGAAATTGATAAAGAAATAACATTTTTCTGATCTTTAGTTTTTAATTTTTTTTTTTTTTGTGAGGAGTTCTTAAGGGTTGAAATTTTTTATCTTGAAATTTTATTGTTATTTACATTTAAATTTTTTAGTATAAACTGAGTCTTTAATTTAAACAGAATGTTTTTATTTTATCACTTATGTATGAATCGATAGTTAACGATCATGGAAATTTGATTCCATCTTCTAAATTATTACGTAATTATTATTTTGGAGATACATTGTATTGCATAACTGTACTTAAAAAAATAATAAAATAAAACATAACATTAACATAAAAAGTGTTACTCATTTCTGAAGTAGTCTTTGAAATGTTGTCTTAACATCTTAACTTATTCATAGTAATAATATTTATTTGTGTACTATTTTTTATGCCTTGTTTTAATCTCTAAAATAATTAAGATGCGTAGATATTTGAACATTTACATCGATAAAAGAATTAAATTACAGACCTTTTTACAGTAAATATGAATATTACTACCAATAAGACAAAACAGTTTTAAGATAAGCACAATAAACATAAGTTAATAATCGAATACAACGCTTATTACCTTTGACTACTAACACTATAATAAAAAATAAGAAATGGTTAAAGTTATTTTAAAAATGAATAGATTACTGATGATATATTTAATTTATGGATCCTCGGGCAATGACGTTATCTCTCTCCTCCATCTCCTTAAAAAAACAGTTTAAGTTATTTTACATTATGTTAATATTTAAATTTTTTTTAATTCAAAAACAGTTGCTTTATTAATTCGTTAAATTTAATTATTTTAATACGTTTTTTTTTAATTTCTAACATGTGGTGAGCACCCCTGATGACCGGCGCCCCTATGGGCGCCCCCCTACGTTAACGGCTTCGGGAAGATGGCCGGCAATGATTTCGGCTACTAAACACGTGTCAAGAAAAAAATATAAACACATTATTGCTAAAACCTAAACATTATTTCATCCAGAATAATTTTAAAAAATAAATAAATAAATGCGGCCCTATAAAATTAAGTCCTTGGTCCATAAACCGTTCATATGAAACAAAAGTCGAGCATATTCATGAAGGAATAATTTGATTAAATTAGTTTGTGATTTCGAACAACATAGACACATTTTTAGACGGATCTGAATATT